AGTTCTATGAAAAGAATATCAAATTTTATTGGGTTATTTTTTCCATAGAATTAGTATTCCAATAAAAACATTAGCATAATAATAATTTATGTATTTTTCCTTAATGCTTGTGTGATATCTCACCGTAATGCAAATAAAAAAATCTTCTAATCGATGTTCACATTAATGCAAATATATGAGCAATAAATATCCGAGACAATACACTCCTTTGTCGGTCGAGAATTCGGAGTGAAGTATAAACGCGAAAAAATGGCGGAACAAAGTTAGTGCTTTCACGCAAATTATTTTATTGCAATCAGTGGATTGCGCGCAACGAGTCCGATACAAACTCCAAACGAAGCGACCGAGTCAACCATGTTTTCATTCCATTTTTTTTTTTCAATAAAGAATATTTTAAATGGAAACGTGCAATTTATTTCATTCACTCGCAGGTGATTACTTATGATGTGCTTGTTAACTGCATTTCACGGGTTACACTTTATTCTGATTTTTTTTTCGCGAGCTCCCTCATTGGAATGATTTGTGTAAACTCGTAGTTGAACGATAATTGTTCAATTATAAATTCAACTTATTTTCATGTAAATGTTATTTTATTACTAAGAAAACTTAATGTGAATATTTCATACGAACACTATCATTTGTTTTTTTCTTTTTTGTTTAATATCCTATTTAAAAAGTGCATGTAATAATAAACTTGTTAGAATTTATAAAAATTAAAAGATATCAAAAATTATCATAAATTAAATGTATAAAAGTACGATTATTCAGAGCACCAGATTATATTAGTTTAAATTTGTGTGCATTTAATAAAGAGTGTAAGTTTATCCGTGAATCAGTTATGGAATGTTAAGTTCTTGTCAACACGTTCTCAATAAAACATTTTAAATAAAAATATATTTTATCCATTTTTTTTATCAAAATTAAAGTATTGGACGAACAAAGCCCCAAAAACACCACGCACGCACAGGAAACGTGCAATAGAATAATCGTTTTTTAACAGAAAAAAGTTGGAGAATTTGACAGAGTTCAAAACTGCCTCGAGGTTCAATTACGAGAGTGCGCGCAGCCAATAATTGGCACCGGAGTCCGCGACAAAGCGCCCACAATGGGCTCTGATTAATTTCCGAACTACAGCCGAATTCTAACTAGCAAACACGCGACGCTGCCTGAAATTACTTTGCTGTTTAGCTTTGTGAGATCATTTTATACAAGCCATTCATTGTCTTCAATTAATTCATTGATTTAATTCTGGAACTACTTTGGTCTTTGGTGAGTTTGTCTTGCACTGTTTGTGGTCATGACAGCAGTTTTTATTCTTTTTATGTATTTTAAGGTAAGATAATTAAATTATTAAGCAATCTAACCGTTTTAATGGTCCCATTATAACATACAAAACGTGTCTAAGCGTCAGATAGTGCTAGTGCCAGTGCCAATGCCAGTGCCAGGCGGCCGGGTGGAGGAAATTAAACGTCATTCGGTCACTTTCTTCGCACAATGCAGATCTGCAGACAAGAGTCATTAAGGCGAGCAAATCGGATGCTTGGGACTTGTAACATACAGACAGCTTTCATTATTTAAAATAACATTTTCATTAGTAAAGAGCAATTAAAATAAATTTACGTGATAAGATGTTATGAAATGACTACGAAATTGTAAGCAGTTATAACATTTTTAATGAATTATCATTTTAATTAGGACTTTTGTAATTAGCGTCATATAAAATTGCAAGTATGTCAAATAAAAAGCTAACAATAATTTCTTATCGTAACCCACCTATTACAATCTAAAAAATATTCTATAAACGATTAACAAACCAGTTATATATATGTTAATTATTATTTATATATCAAAGAAATCTCAACAATATGTGGTTAACAGTAAGCCCACGCTTGTTATTAGTATCTGAAACCTGCTATGGATCTGCAGGAAATTAAATGCTGTCCACTGGCGGTGTCCGTCGTTTAATTACGCTTACTTACTTAGTACTCAACACACAGATTACACGACAGAGTTAGCTTACACTTCGATTTATTGATTTAAAATTAAAACGCCCACTGTCTTCATGGATTGTACTGAGATTATACATTCAGTAACATCTTCATTATAATTGCATCTGTCACTTAATAATTATTAATGTTTTTTATCTGTATCCGATTTGACAGCGAATCCACAGATTACTATAGAAATAATATTAAACATAAATATGAAAACTTTTTGTTGTATTCTTTGTTTCACTTAAAACATTATTCTATAATAGTTTTATTAAAATATATATTTATGCCATGTAAATTCAAACAGCACAATACATATTAAAATAAAACAAGTAATAACTTAAAAGGTAACTGCCACGACAAAATAGATATAAATGGCGAAGTCGTATTGACGGACAAATATAAAATAACAAAAAGTAGCAAACAAAGCACTCTTGAAAATATGCAAAAAAGCTATCCAAATCATGATATCTTTGAAAGACTGTGTTATAGTAGAATTGAAACGGTGCATTCGAAATCCATTAGCTAATAGCGGTGAGCGACGTGACACGCAGTCGCGCTGTCCATCGCCGGTTTAATTTCCTCTCCGGCGACGACCGATGTACAACTCTCAATGTGAAGAAGAATTGTAATGTGCTTTGGATATTTTATGTGTTTGTAACAGGGATTTAATTAGCCTCGTGATAAGATTAATTTATACACGGATACAACTTTTATTTCATCATATATTTATGTCGAGACTGGTTTAAGACATGTACTTCGGCTGTTTAAAAGGAATTTAGCTTGGTATTAATTCACAATATTTTTTATAGTTGTTTTTAAACAATTTACATATACCATATATTCGTTCATAAACTCTTAATTACTAAATAAATAAGAGATTTTGTCGCCCTTTATTTAAATTGTGGTACATATAACTATTTTCTGTAAATACAATAGGGAATAGCGTGTTCGGTATCAGAATCGAACGTGCGCCCGCGCCGCCAATTAGAAGTATTCTCGGCAAATGGGCTATTAACACTCGCCGTACAGCGGTCATCGCGATCTATCTGCCTTCCTTAGATTAGCGTGAAGTTTTCTAATTGAACTTAACGATTATGGGATAACAGGTTTATATTTTTACACCCTTACTTTATGTATTATGATGTTGAGATACATATTGTACTCATTCCATATACCTAAGCTTACTTTTCTTTCTTTAAAATTGGTGATAACCCATCCATAGTAAGAATACGTAAGCCATTGCTCACCTTTATGATCATAAACTACCAACGAACGAGAGACTACAAACTTTGAAATAATGAAGTGTTACGGATTCTGAAAATGTATTTGAATTTAAACATTATAATTAGTATGTATTGCAGTTTATGCTTTAATTATTAAAAAGAAATTGTATGATTGCTTTTCGTATATTTCGTATCGTATAATCGTATGTTTCGTATAAGGATTTGACTTACATATATTTAAGAGCACTTATGTGCCTGATCTTTTATTATTGTGTACACAAAAACTACCGCAATTATTGAGCACACTATAATTTATATAATCGGATCGTAATTAGAAAAAAATCTATTTACCGTATTATTAACTAGAAAGTAGTAAATAATTTTAATAAAGAACATTTAAATTTATCCTCTTCAACATTATAGCACGGAACCTGTTTATGTAATGGAACATTACGTGCATAATTAGTAGTTTATAAAGTATTTATATTTTATATAGAAAGAGAGTTTAGACGCTGTAAAGCCTTAACGATCATTAGATCTCAGTGTATAATTATACCATAATAAAGTTGTATGCACAATTAAAACGTGGTATTTATAGAAAGGATAGATTCTACATTATTAGAATGAGAATATAATATATGTATGTAAGTAAATTGGAGTCAACAAAAATATCCAGCGTATAGAGTGAATCACGATATGCATATGACTGAACAGTTACATCAGCCGATTCAAGGAAACGGTTCAAATTAAATCGCGGACCTCAACTCGGGAGCTAGGCTAGGTCTTTTATAGCACGCGATCGGGTGAACGTTTCGCGTTAATTAATTGGGTGTTTTCACACGTCAGGGAGCAGATCTCGCCAAATAGATCGGCGCATGAGGCCCTTAATTAGCTATATCTTTAGGTCGATCGCCTGCGCACAGTATACCGCCACGCCAATTTGGTACTGCTCTCCGCTACGGCATACTAGACAGATAAGGACTAGAATGCTAGCCAATAACCTCATTATTAAAGAACCGACCCGCTGTTTATTTGATTGTTTGATAAGATTCATTTCTCATATAATGCCCGCTTCGGTGAATTTCGGTTGTTTTAATGTTCGTTTAACTTAAATAATTCACGTCATCAATAATGAATACTTTTAAATGGAAACCAATTAATATGATATAAAGAGTAACGTCAATCTCAGCGTCAAGATATTTGAATGGTGATGTCGATTTCATTTGATTTAATGAAGTTGTTAGTCTCAAGTCGTCCGCGGCTGTAACAATGAGTCGTGTCAGTAACATGATTAGAGCAGCGAGTCCCGCACTCCACCGAGCACGTGGAACGATCCGACGAACGCGCCCCAGATTGATAGCCGTCGGGAAACAATTACCTTTTTGTCGGCAAAGCGATATACCGCTAATTACAATAAGTGATCATTGACTTTTTTAATTAAGCCGCTCATTGAGCCGTCGATCACGGAATAATAGTTGCCAGTCAGTATATTTAATAAACGTTCCACTTCGGAATGTTCATAGTTTCGCTCGCGGAATTTATTTTATTAACTCCGACGTTTTCTATTTAAGAATTTTTAATATTGCAACGAATCGGTGCCAGAAAGCGAATCTCGTTTCGAGTTAATTTTTTATTTTTTTATTTTTTTTTAAATGGTTGTTAAAAACTGACAATATACGTACATTATATGAAGTGGGCATGTTTATTAATGACAGCATGAAGGTTGAGTTGTAACCTGTTTGGATGTTGTACGTAGGTTCGTTGCATTCCTTTATCGAGTGAGATGTGTTCTCGCTGTCAGAAAGTGGCGCTGGCGGCGTGGAGGTCGCGACTGGCGGGCCGGTATATCACCGGGTTCACGGGTCCGAATGGTCTGGGCCATTGTCCGCCCGTGAGAAACGTATGTTGCCAGCCTCTAATTACGTTTTATGCGATATCGCCATTTAATTAGCAACATGTTTCCCATTCCGAAACATTAATTAATATTTTCATCACAGTCCTCTGCATTTAACTGTGCTTTTATTGCTCCCTCGAGATTTTAATAAAGATTCCCGACCACCCTTGTCGGGGTAATATTGCTTTTGAGTGCTTATTAATTTTTTTGATTCGATGAAATTGTTTAAGTCTTTACCGACTTATTAAATTGTTTAACTATAAATAAACTCATTGAATCTGGAATACAATTGGCGAAAGACACTGTGAGATAAAACATCTCGATATCGCATTTACATTAAGAGGTGTTAATTAAACTGTATATTATAATGAGTCAAGTTTGCGTTTCGTGTTTCAAACTTATACAAGTTTATACTTACGGGTCGTTATATCGAAATAGTGCCTTAGTCATTATAACGGCAGAGACTGATTAAATAATAAAGCGTATACGATGCGATTTTGCTAAATAAGGGACAAGATCAATTTGATGTTCGGTCAGTCGGTAATTGTTGCAGAAGATTAATAATCAATCCACGTACCGGACAAATTGCGACAGCGGAGCGTCAATAATGGTGTTATGGGTGTGACATCTCTTACGTGAGACTCGTTACTTGAAACCTGTTAATGACTGTTACATTCGTACAATACGTGAATCTGTCCTTTACATCTTAAACAAAGCGAAAGTAACATTCGTCGGACGCGAAATATACGTACACTCTGACAAACTTGTTTCATTTAAAAGCCTGAGAACGAGGTTGATGTTTTCGTTTTTATTTAGTCTATCAGGAGTACAAAATTCACCTCTATCGCCTTTGCATTTTACGCGATCCACCATTTTTGTGTTGTTTGCATAATTTGAATCGATGAAACTCCTGTTATTCTGCGTATTTAAGGTCCGAGAGCGTGAGAACAGCCCTCCAAGGAAACTAATTACAGCGAATGCGGCCTGGGTCTTCAGTTAATTAGAGACTGAGTGGTTCAACCCTCTTAATTAATAGGCACTCGACTTGGAGGCCCTTATGCTTACCTCGTCTGTTTTGTTTCAATTGTTGAATTTATGATAAAACGTAAGTAGTTGATAATTCTATTCACATTATAATTGTATTCCACAAATAGACTCATAGAATATTATAATATTGCTATTATAAAACGAACAAATATTATATGTTATTTGTAACTTAACTCTATATGATGAAAGTAGAAAAAAAGTATACAACATGAGAGTTGGACGTTGATTGAGGCCGTTCGAGTGTGAAATATCGATGCCATTATGATAAGACGGAGGGGATTTTAAATATTATAAACCATTTCTATTAATTGGATTATATTATAAAGATGTATGTTATTTGACATTAAAACAACTTACATTTATATATTTAATTTGTTCTATTAAATCAGAATTTATATAAGTAACATAACTTACAATTGACGACTATATTTATTCAGTATCACCTGCGCGAATCAGAATGTTACAGCAACAACATAAACATTATTTATGACCATTCAATTCTATGTCGTAAAGGAGAAAATTGCTTTGTAATGTTATATTTAATGCATTCGTACCTCCCTATACCTAAAACTATATCTCTCTCTGGAACATGACTCTTCGATTAACATAAAATTCATGGAAACGAAGCGTGGGCGCAGCTTGGATAGTAATAAGTACATCTTCAAAAATCTCGAGAATTGTAGTGTTTAAACGCACTGTTTATATTTTATAATGATGCGGTTTCTATCTTACGTTGTGGTACATGATCAACAAACCGCATTAGTAATTTTACAAGTAAACATTAGGTACTAGAACCGATCGGAAAATCTAACCTAAATTAGTAAGTAAATATTGCGAAATATGCTGTCATATATATTATATGAATGATATATTGAAATATAAATTTAATTAAATCATAAATTAGTATAAAAAGATGACTAGATATCACGACCATAAATATGATACATAGCACACAATAACAGGTTATCTTGAGATCCATAATTAAATCAATCCAATTATATAATTATTAAGGCCGAGATAACGATCTCGGAGTTTCTGAGAGCACCATGAATATGGAACTTGGTGAAGATTAAAGGTTAACAAATAACAAATATAAAAATGTAGTCTGACATGTTTGATGCGGAGTACCGATGCAAAGCACTGATAACATTCCGACTGAGGATTCGAACACGAAATTCTTGACGTGGTCAAATCTGACTCCATACTTGAGGTATACAACGTTTCCTAACCGTGTGTATATATGTTTGAATGTCAGGAATTCTCGATGTGTTGACTGTGATACGTCTTCCATTGCGTCCCAGCTGCCGGCCTGAGGGCAGGGAGGGCCTGCTTGCGGCGCAATGCTCAGCATTCCTCCGCTCGACGACGTGGCGTATTGGAGGAGAGGTCATCACTAGGCGATAGGATCATAACAGAGAATTCGTCGGTCGACTGCCGGTGGAATGCGAGCGGTAATTGATTTGTCCTACGTAATCGACGGCTTCGACGGGATTGATGGGAATATCGAGACGTCATGCTTGCCAGAGATAGCTCAATGTAGCATTCTCCGATGTCTGTTACTTAGAGAGCTAAATCATTCGCCATTAGCATTCCAGATGTTAGATGCTGCTGTATATTGTGAATTGGCTATGACCACTGGACACGAATAACGAATTGAACTTGTCTGTCTTGATCTGCGATATAAATATAAAAGATATAAAATAATTTTTGTTTTGTATACATTTAAATGAAATGGATTTATTAAAATGAATGCTATTATAAGGATAGTCTCATACAAGGCTCGCTTCGACTAAAGCATCAAGCTGACGGCGAGGAGCAACATTAAATTAATATTCATAGCCGTTGTATTTATTGGCTTTCAATTAGTTTAATCTTAATGGAGCATAAGTACAGCGCGGGCGGCGCGGGCGACGCGTCCTAGGTGCTTAAGTGTCGTGGTGTTGTCAGCACATATTAAGATTTTCCTTATTAATTATTATTTAGCGACTAACTTAAATAATACCTAGCTCACTAAATAAATATTTATAATTTTTATTTTTCAAAGTTTTAAAATTGAACCATACACTCAACACGATATCGAAATAAATATCTTAATCATTAGCGATAGCCTGATATAAAATTGCTAATACATTTTAGAATCAGTTAACTGGTCTTTAAATGGCAACACTTCAGAATTGTCCCAGTTAACATTAGTTGGTGTAATGACATAAATGGGCAACAGAGTCACCTCACTGGCAACTCTGGTCGCGGAAGGCAGGCGATGACCTCAGCGGACCGGTTCCAGCGGTTCCCTTCCCCCCTCCCGCCGCTCATGCCCCCTCACCCCCCTCTCCCCTTCCCCTTAACGTGAGACGTTTCATTACGTTATTATTATATTAAGTGCTATAATCCATAATATTGTTGGCATTTCTTGAGACGATATGTCTAAGGCATATGAATCGTGACACATATTCGTATAGAGCATAAAATATTCATCGTAATTTAAGGTATTGTAACACGACCTTTAATTCATGATTTTCTTCGTTTATAATTATGATAAGTTTAGTAGTTTTTTTTGTAGTTTTTATCTAGAAACGTCTTGTATCAACGCATTATTATTTTTTTCAATTAAATATTTTGATTTAATCAAAAATTTTGTTTAACAAACGGAGCTGTTTCAAGAATGATTAATTAATTGTAAAAATTTAATTATAAATTTGAATAAACAAAAAACTTAATTAAAATAAAACCATTGTTTCTTCTTATTAATATAATGTTTTGCGTTCAACGAATATTTAATCATGTAATTTTTAATTAAAAATGTACGCTTACCGGAAGGGTGAATTATAATTAAACGAAATTTTAAATATATATATATATAATAAGAAAATAATATATATTTATAAATTAATAATTAAATGAAATTAATTTACTAATCTATCAACAAGTTTGTAAAACAATTTGAAATTAAAACATTTATTTTGTTTTATATATTAGCAGAGAGTTTAGATATGAGAGCGCTGAAACTATTCTTTAAAGCCTGATCCATGGCAATAATAAATAGAGCCGTCTTTCTCATATCTATCCATTGATTAAAAAGGACTGCACTAAAACTTGGATATCATCATATAGTGGAAACATCGGTGTAGGTATTATACAGAAATCTAATTATAGAAGGCCGGTCTGTGAGACGGTGGGCGCGGTGCAAAATAAAGCACATTACAAAATATCACGTTACATCGTTCGGTGCACTTGATCATTCCGTTGTCCGAAGACTTGTTTCATTAATATTTTTTTTCCCTACATTTTGTACTTATACCGCTTTGTCCGGAGCCGCCACGCACGCCGACCGATCACAATAGATTACAAGCCATCAAACGCTTTTTAAAATATTAATTTACTTAGCCTTATTAATTTTATAATTCGATTAGCTTGAATTAATCACGTCGTGCTTTACGTTCTTATCGTACTCATTGTATGCATGTTTTTATATTAAAAAACTCATATTAAGTTACATTTGATGCAATCTAAACAAACGTTATCGAAAAATTTCAATGTATGTACGTATGAATGAATATACATATATACAAAGTGTTGTTATGTTATCATATGTGATGTAGATATGTTGTCGACCAAGAAATGATGGGGATAGAAGGAGAATTGGCACGTCAAAGTACTGTCGGTAATAGAGCGAGTGGAGTGCGTGGTAGTCCCTAGCTCGCCGACCAATTTATTTGCCGGGACGTCAGATTTCGAGGGCCTCGTTACGACTAAGCCTCCAATTAGACTTATCCCTAATTAAGAGATGCCAATAAATTACCCTCCATCACGGGCTAACGAAGACGCGCCGCACTAATAACGCTAATTGATTTTGAGTAATGAGCTCGAGTTTTGATGGAGCTGATTGGGGGAGGGGGAGCGGGATCGATCGCCCGACCGCCGATAACGGAACCATAATGTGGTGCGAAATGTTTTACACGGAGGTGCTTCTTAATCTGGTCGATTCCAAAATCCATACCGAATCGAGTACTCTATTTTCAATAAATTCATTATAATTTTCTTATATTTAATCAACGCTTAGGTGATATATAGAATTCGTTATGAAAACACTTAGTAGATACTTTACACAAAAAGAAAAACAAATACTATTCAAATTAGATAATAAATGAAGAAAAAATATCTTTATCTAATTATCTTATTAGAATTATTACTTTCTTTAAGAGCAATAGACGTTTTATTACACGGTGTAACATAAAAACGACGAGATAAATATTAATCTTAATTACTAAGTTAATAACATAAATATCTAATATAGCCAAAATATTTACAATATAAATACTACCTAAAGAATATATTTTTATAGTAATAGAATAAACCAATCGTGATTTAATATCATCTAACAAGTAAGTTGGTAATTTTCCTTTAATTGAATCCCATTAACATAGTAAAAGCTCGACTTTAATTACTGAGACCAAACATTGGACTCGCTCTGAACATTCCATGATCGTTTCATGTCACTTAATATGCAAACATCTAATTAGTCGTGGTTTGAATAAAAAATTACTTTGAAAATAATATTATAGATTCAATATATACATAATATATTGAATATTTTATTAATGTAAGTACAAAAAGATATGATTGTTTAAACAATGTTATATACATATAAATATTGTACATTTATTTCTTTATTGTTAACACATTTCAATACATTGAGACCACGCATTAACAATTATAGCTTACATGCATCACTCATCGACTTATTAGAACAAAACATTTAATTTGATAACCGTATTATGTTTGTGAGTGAAATTAAGAACTATATTGAATTTAGAGCAACTTTAATTACTTCAATGAAATAAATGAATTTCCAATAGTTTATTTTAAATGAAAACTGTATTTACATCACCGACACGTAATAAACATATGTTCAACGATAAATGTATTTTTAAAAAGATAATAATGAATTACTACGGTTCCTTTTTTGATAGTTTTAAACTAAATCCTTCCGATGTTTCGTTTACTTTGCAGCAACAATAATCACTGACAGACGAGATGATTTTTAATCCGACCATATTATATATGTACATAGTTTTATTTAAGTGAATAATCGCGAAAGTCTTATTAAATTATACTCTTTACATAATAAAGAAATCAAATATTACTACAGTTATTTATATAGCATAATGTATTCCGAGTTAAGAGCTACAAGTTGAGTACATTTTGACGTGTTTTCATACAAGTAATGTATAACACAACCAATATTAGCTCCGTTCCGGTCACGCGCGCCCGCGCCGTACATGCAAATCCAATAGTTATACTATTTGTCTACGTATTTAACTAAAATATATATATAATTATACTAGCTGATAGTAATAGCTTAACTCTTCTTATAAATTAGTTCTAAGAGTATCAAATATGTAATAGGGAATAAAAGAGAATAAAGCATAAAAGAAATAAAATAAAACCTTTTTTGGAATATATGAATTTCAAGGTTCAAATTTATTTTAATTATTTTGGATTGAGTTATAGGCTATATCAAATAAATTTACTATAAAAATCATTTTAAAGCTTTTTAATATCACAGTAAAAGCATCTGTGAGGCAATATCAGTTAAATTAAAATATTATTAAAAAAAAACACTTAATTGTGATTTATAATAATTTTCCTGTATAATTTACTATAGTAATATGTATATATGATCGTGTGTTTGTTTGTTATCATTAATTTAAACATATATTCATAGTTCGTCTCTCTATAAGTGGCCGCTAAGTAGACAAACGTAATTTTCACCCTCATGTTAATTTTCCTATCTAACATATAACAAGTGGTTTCATTAAACATCTTTTTGTATTAAATTCCTTTATTAAAACAATATTTATTGATTATTTTTAGGAATAAAAATATATTAATTATAAAAAAAATCTTTTCACTGTGACTTAATTTTTATTTTTGCTGCATTTATAATAACAATTTAAACAAATAATCTTAGCTGCTTCCAAGCTTTATAAAGAAAGTACTAGCGAGAATTTACTATAAATGTTAAAACTTTTTCACGTTATCTAAAAGTTTCGGGTTATTATTCTACGAGTATTAAGAGTATTATAAGGACGTAATGCGATACGCAATAGATGAACGATAATAGTTCAAATGATAAAAATATTTCACTTTTATAATAAGATACTCACTTGATAATCCAATTAAATTATCACAGGTAATTAAAATTTCAATAGAAAATATATAATTAAATACATACTAAGCAGGATTCGAATCTGCAAACTTAGGAATGTCGTTTTCTAGTTACTTCAACAATCAAACTATAGTGCTCTTACTGGGTTTGATGAAATGATCATTCTATAAATGAATCATCATATTGATACAGAGGTGCCATCTACTAGATTTTCTTAAGAAAATTCGCAGGAAAGAAGAAACACTGAAAATACTACCAGTGATATTAATATCGTATAACTATGATATAACATTAATGCATCTAACAGTCACGATACCTTAATTGGTAAAGAACACGGCTGTACAGAGGTCGTGGATTCAAATCTTGCTATAATTTTAGTTTGAATTCAAGTATTAAATCGACATTACTTTAATTTTTACATCATAATTATACGTACAGTATACATTATCCCTGAAGAACGACATTGCCTTTTATATATTATATTTGTTTAAAAAAATATATAATTTTAGAGTATGAATATAATATTATTGCATTATTATTCAATGTTCTGTAGAAGAGCGTTTGAGCATCGTGACTGGCATAGATCGGTGATTGTGAGAGTCCACTACCACGATTTAATCCGATTACTAATGTCTCGTTGGATTTGGATGAGTATTTTTTATTACTTTACATTCTAATTCATCGTCCTATTGTGTTAATGTGTTTAAATGTCAATCAATCGATTTATGAGACATTGAAAATAAAATGTAATAGAAAACACACTAATTTCTTACAATACAAGCGAATCACGAATCAATTCAAAGTCAAATAAGTGGATATAGTGTGTTTTCAATTACATAAAGTATTTAAAAAATCATGTATTGATGCTTACCTATGTGCGTTGATAATAAGATATTGCACTCATTTACCATATTCAGAGCTAGATAAAGTTAATGTCACTTAATTGGATGTTGATTATAATGAGTGTGATCAAGGAGGCGCGCTATCTACGCCCGGAGCGGGAACAATCTATCATTCTGACATAAATTAAGACGACTTATTAGGAAACATTGATAAATATGCGCATAATTTAAAACTAGATATACATATTAGTATCAATTTGAACATGGTATCTACAAATATGTTTGTATATCATTATATTATAGGATTTTAGATTATCAAATGTATATAAACTTTTAAAGGGATGCATAATTAGTTCAATTGCACCACTTTATATCTGGTTCTGGGCAACTTGAATAAGCTTTAATTTAATTTAATATTTAATAAAAAATAATTTTATTAAAATTAGTAGCATTGTTATCATTTATAGAGTCACATTTGTTTGTTTGTTTTTCTTTTAAAAAAGCATTTTTTTTTGTATAGCAGTATGCATTAGAATCTGTTGATTAGATAATAAAAATGTAATATCCCATCAATGATTTATAATTTTAAATGTAAACGTTATAATATACATTTGTCAATAATCGCGTTTATTACACAAATTCATTATTAGTTACAACCATTTTCACTTTTTACAGAAAAATATATTTGTTTCTGAAAACTATGAAAGGTAATATACTATATAACTGCTAGCTTTATACATATTTTTATTCTCATATTACAAAACGAGATAGCTATTCAAGCAATAATTAACAACTCACAATTATCGTTATACATCTTGAAGTAATAAATTGTACATTTATTAATGGGACCGTATATAACTTTAATATACCAATAAATTTATTAAACATTCTTATTTAAAGATAATTTAATGTTGTTTAGAGAAATGTACATAAGATATTCGTTATAAGCTGGCTTCACGTTACAAGGCGATCCCGTTGTTATTAATTAGTGAAGCTAATTAGGAAGACAAGTCATTAGTAAATATAAATGAAACAGGCGAATCAACTTCACTGAGAAAAAAATCTTTAATTTATCTACGGTTTTATGTTGGTACATTTTAAAACCATTTAGTTTTTAAGAATAACGTCCCAAGAAACGGAGGTATTCACAATTATTTTCTGGTTTTGATCAATTATATTAGTATATTTTAATCACGAGTCTAATTTATATAGTTCTTGAAAAATTTAAAAGGAAATAAATGTATTTATTTAAACTAGTTTTTTAAATGAAATTATCGTAAAGAAACATTTGTTCATAAATTAAATTGTAATTTATTTGTTTAACGGCCGGAACGTAATTTACCGGATGACGCAGATTTGAAACCTGGTCGTATTAAAAAAAAATCATTAAAATTAAAATTAATTTACCACATTAAATAGAATACGATAAAAAAAACGTCTGCCATTTATCAAGCACAGCATATATTTTAAGTTAAAGACGAAGTTTAATTTTTATTAAAACGAGTAAAGTCTTGACATAGTTACTAAATCAAAATAATACATTATGCTGTATGTATGGTTATAAATTATATTGAAGATGAAACCCAGCACTAGGGCTGGCTTAGAATAAATGTTAAATGGCAGAAGGTCACATTAATCAGTCACCGATAGAAATCGACTTGCGCGCTGTTATTAATAAGTCTGAGAAGTTAAGATACGTGAACAATTTAATATTATTCTAATTAATCTTAATCGAAGTTCAATTAAAATTAAACATATATATATATTATAATTCTGTATGTCATTGATTTTATTTTATATATGTCATATAGGTTTTAATACAAACGTCACTTTTCCTCCATAGAACTAATCAAATATTTTTTTTTAATAAAGAATCTTTTTATTAAGGTTAGGATTTTTGTTTCTGAGCCTGTTCATAAAGAGACTGTTTTAAATTATTATTTTGTATTGTTTTTCCGGACGACCGTGTCTATAATTTCATATAGAAATGTTTTGGATCATGCTAGAGCGGAGTAGAGCAAAAGATTGCATACCTGCGGCAGTTTGTTTTCAATACTTAAGGGCTGTCGATATCCAGAAAGTTTTTATTACAATATAAAATTTTTAATATTACTAGGAGTAATATGTTTTTCGTAATTTTTAACATTGACTGACTTGGCAACTAATTAGTCAGTTTGAAATCAAATAATGTTATACCATATACCTTTTCTGGCGTTTTTAATTTGGTGCCGCATTCAATTTAATTAGTCACGTCCAAATATGGCGTCTGCTTTTGTTTTACATTAATTTACATTATAACATGAGACACCGTGAATAACATATTCATTAATGTTTAAAACATATTAATGTTCCTAGATATCAGACGTGTAACTTTTGAAAGGAATAATTAAATGCAATAGTTAGAATGAATTTGGTGTGGTCGCTTTCTGAGTTTCGGTCTCGGTGCCATCCTTGCTTCGTCCAGCGGGGGGTGCTTCATGATTGATAGCCGGCCGGCTGCATGTAAGATGGAGCGAGACAGCATCAGCACCAGCTCTCGGACCTCTCCCTCACACACAGCAGGCTGGCCTCGTAATTGAATGGCAATTACCTGCGCTGTAAATATGACACAAGCGCGTAATTGTAGGAGTGTAGCGCGTGAGGCCCGGACCGCAGTGTGGACGGGGCCTTTAAATTATATAAATTATTGAAATCACGTACTCCAGAATCTAAGATATTCATTTTAATTCATAATTCTATAACTATAACATGACTGAAATTAAGTTAATTTTAATACCTGTCTACAATCATTAATATGATTTTAACCCGTGTTTTATACTATCCTATTATTTCTTTATAAAATTCATGAACTACGACAACAGAATAAATTGACAAAAAAAGCACTTCATTCTTCTATTCCCAGAACTAAAAACTTTGATATCGTCCTGTTTTTTTTTACACAATAACCGTATTGTAAGTCCTTTTGAATCTTGAAGGGACCGTATTTAGCTTGTATTCTGTATTCCTTTTCTATTAAAACTTATTTTGGTTATGGAATGTATGTAATATGGAAAATAAATTATATAAAATTTACTATAAACATACATACATGCATATGTTATGTGTATATGATAAGAATATATTCACCATTGTTGTACTATATAATTTTTATACATACATATGTCATGAAATGACCAGGCTGTCAGCGCCGCGGGCTCCATTCTTTAAACCAGTAGAAATAAATTAACTTCGATATGACTTTCTTTAAAATATTATACACCCTTATTGCATATAGTAATAAATAAGTAGGTATATATATGGTAAATAATAGTAATACAGTGTCGTGACTAAATGTTTTTATGTTATTACAGAGGAATTTAAGTGTTACTGAACCATTTGTTTGCAGAAAATAAATTCAATTTAAGATAAAGCGAAAAGTTCAACCGATGCGGTTGGGATCCTCTAACGGCTATGAGTTTTTCCGTCCTCCATTCTCTTAAATTTTCTCTCACACAGCATAAAACAACAGGTGGTTCGATTTACCAAAATATCTCCACGACGGTAATAGAAAAAAAGTGTTATCGTGAATCGTGTTAATGACTGTAAATACCGTCTAAGGTTTTAGGAAATAATATCGTGTGAATGATGTAGGAAAAGAATGTGCAAGGTGATCGTGTACAGTCGTACGAGACCAAGTTCGTATTATGAATTGCAACATTAAATACCGTTTTGTAAGTTTTAATAAACGAGTAATTTATAATATTTATCTTGATTTCATTGTAACGATACAAATGCATGGGGAAGTAAAACGCTTTGTGTTCGTAAAGCATTTAGAATGAGAGAGTCGCGAGTGCTAATGAAGGCCACTTTAATATAAATCCTTCATTAAACCGATCCCATACAATCGTTCATTTGGAGCGTTCTCACGCCTCATTAAAGTCTTTTTCGTTACTCGGCGACCGCGTCTACCGTTTCCCCGAGCACAATGAGCGGGTGATTCGGCGGCGAATAACGAGGGCATTTTGTCGGCCGCCTCTCACGTCCGACGCCTTCCGACGCTCAATGAAAGTTTACCTGCACCCGTAACGAGCGATTTGTCCCCCGGCCCCTCGCCCCTCACCCCCGGCTCCAAATCAAAGCCCATTCACATCTGCATGCCGACACAATGCTGGCAATTAGGCCTCGCTTGCCCCTACAATCGAACGTAATGCGCGCTCGTTCGATGACGTCGCTAACGTGCTTGATACCGTCTCGAGCCGATTCCGTCTTCGAACATTCTTTAAACTCGATCTTACCAAACTCATGCTTTGCTTACCTGCTACCTATATTGTGAGCTCGCTTTGCTAAATCGTATTGCTATACAACTGACAATGATCCAAATTGATTATAACATTACTCTATGTCGAGTAACATATGTGAAAATGTAGCCGTGAATACTTTATTAAACGCATTTTAGTATAATCAAATACAAGTAAATTGAAATCAGGAAACCCGAACATGTTTGACGAAATTTATTTATTTATAAACATAGAAGTGATTTATAAGTAATAATACGATTGGTTTAGCTAATAAAAAGGTTAGAATAGTCTGACAGCTGTTGATATTCGGTCATGGGGTCAAGATTGAAGCTCGTTACGTCATCGCCTCTTTTGTCCGCCAATTCTGCAGCCAAGGGTCAACTCTATACCGTAAATCTTCTATATTCAATAGGAAATTCATTTATACATATTTAATCCGTTTATAGTTTATTGTATTTAAATCATCTCATACTCTATTACATGTAAAATACAGTCACAATTTATATTCCCGTGTTGGTGTGTTTTTTCTTTATTTCGTATTATAATTTTATAAAGTTTTTGCGTTGCCATATTTCGCGCTCCGCGGTCATTTGTTTGAATTTATAGCGTTGTCACTATGCAGACGTTTGACGTGTATTGCCCTCGTAACGGATATATTAACTGTTTGTCTCGCGAGATTTTACAACGTCTAATAATATATTATAACATTTGAAATGAGACGTGTCACATGACGGGCGAATATCTTTCCCGGAATGTGGCTATTTTTAAAGTGTTCATAGTTATTGTATGACTCCATTGTTGGGATGTAGTATATTATTATATTCAAACATAGCTTTTAATATTAAGATACTTAGAATGTCAAAACAAAAAGATCAAAAGATTATATTGTTTTTATGATTTCTCCATCAGTGGCTTGAGTATATTCACCGATACATCGAACTTCAAAAGTAAACATTAACACAAACAATAATAGAAAATATATTAGTTAGTTTCTAGAATAAGTTTTGTTTAACCCAGAAACTATAAAGTTTATTGCTTCCACGTACAAATATAGAAACAAAAGGAACAAATAGGGGGCTAACGAGTGCGTTCATTGTTACCTTACAAAGCGTTGCAATAGTAACAAAAAGTTGCAATGCTTAGTGTGAGCGACAAAACGGTACAATAATGCCAAATTAACAAGTTAACAATCGTGCAAATGTAGTGTGGGTGATAGTATACGGGCCGAGGCGAGGCGTCTGGTGCGTCATTAAGGAGTATTCACGGGATCCGACAATATTCTTCATTTGCGTACCGGGCGGTCGTCATTTGGCGCATTGTGATGGACCAGCGCGCCCTTGCAGGCTGCAGCGACGTATGATGCTCTTTAATTGTACTCTTGTTTAAACTAAACACTCATTCCTTCTATATTCGGACTGCACTGCTTCCTAACTAATGAGTAATTAGAATATATTTGATTATACATAATTATATATATTTCAACTTCATATATTTTTTTGTAATTTCATTATGATAAATTACAAGTGATTAATTCTGTACTTTTATGCTAAATAATATCTAACCTAATTTAATAAATATCTCCAACGCCTCCTAATCACATTAACGAAATTACTGTGGCTTCGACGTAAATAGGAAAAAAAAGCATTGACGTCATTAATATAGCCGGCTGACGTTCAAAACAAATCAAATATTACCAGCCCACTTACAGCCATTAAAAATTTCTAACCGCCTTTTATAATAACTTATCATCTTCTATCCAATTAAAATGTATAACATTAATAATACAGGCATTCACCTGTCAGTCTAATCTAGAAGAGATGGAAGGCAGAATAGCCTCTGATTATAATGTTATAAGAACGAGAATCGCTCGTAGGAATAAAATGTAAATGAAGAAAGGTGATCGTTGTAATGTAACGTACACGATTATCAGCTAAGAGTTGAATGATAAAAAAAAGTAATTTTGTTGTTCTATAAACAATGCATTGATCATTATATATGGTATATTTACCCTAATTGTTCTACAATAAAATTAGATTTTGATGTCAGCCTACTGGTTCAGACCATTAAAATTAAACTACAAAATTGATAGCATCAGTCTATTTTAAAGATATTCTCCGTCATATGAATGTGACAGAAATTAAGTCTTCTTTCCTATTCTTCTGTCAGAACTACTTAACATTTTTCATCTTCTCAAAGTTCATGGACTATCTTATGTTTAACTTAAATTTCTTTAAAGAATTCTTCTTCTTCCTTTAAATCATTTTGGCTTTCCTTATGTTATATCGTATAGAACAAAACACATAAAAATATAATTATACACAACAACAGAATGTGTTTTAATAGATGTAATTTCACTAACATACGTACTCGTATATATCAATTAATAAAACAACAATATAAAACGTTATGGGGATGTTTTTAATTTGAAGGCTTTAATAAAACGATCGTTTCCAAACAAAAGCTGTCTAAGTTCCGTGACTCACAGATTACCACATAATGCTCATCTAAACATAATACCCATGATTAATAGGGCCCATTAACTTTAAACAAAGATTAATTTTGAAGCGGAGCTTTCGGCCATCGGTAAAGATATCGATCCCGTACTAGGTACCTACAACTTTCTAAGCTATTGTGACATTTGCATTTATCTATATACAATAATTAGTTTGTGATTTGTACACAGATATCGAATTGCTAGTATAATTTAAGTTCGTAATTACATTTGTATTCGTGAATAATAGATAATCAATCATAGGATTAAATCACCTTGCGATCTTATATTTTCCTTTCACTTTTGTATTAAAACAAATAATTATTTTTTTTAAGGTCACGATCGAAAAAAATTATAAAAAATCATTCGTAGTAAGGGTAAGATGCAATCGCGGCCCACCTGCGCCTGCGCAGCCCTGATAATGGAGGCCGAATTATATTATATTACACTATCAATATTAATCTAAAATGACCTCCCTCGCCTTAAAATTATGATTTAACTAATTAGTGTTCAATATAAAATTAAAAAAAATACAATTACTATTATAAATTATAATGTTTTGTTCTGTATATCATGCTGTTCTTTAATTCTTCGTTTAACAAAACATCAATCTTACAGAGACGTCATCAATCCTTTCATTATGTCCACAGTCATTTTGTATTTGCCTTATTAGCAGCAGTTACAACTATTCGACTTTATCAACATAACTCACTCCGACTTTATTATACTTCGTGTATGTATGCAAATGCACTCCAATTAGCGGGACTAACGTTTCTTGGTAGGTATTACTCATTATTTCCAACAGAGTTTTTTCGCCCGCGTATTGCGGCATAATTAACCAAGAACGGGACGAATCCTTCGGAGCTGGCTGACGTCTATACTCTATAGACGACTAATCTTTTTTTATTCTTGGTGATCTTAATTTTTGAAATGAATTAATTAAGCAGTAGGTGAAGGTTGCGGCCCTCTCACTGAAATTTAAAACTTAACGTTGATTGTCATAATGACGACTTGTCGAGTATACAAGGGGAAGGCGAATTAATCAAATAATACCGCGGCGGTGCGGGGTACGGGACAAGGGCGCCCCCTCCTCCGTGCCCCCTCCCGACACCCCGTCCTCCGCCCGCGGCTGCCCCGCGCCCGACCGCGTGGTTCAGTCGCGACTGAAACGCTCGAAGGGGAAGTGCCGCCGATCCCCACAAACGCATCTACTTTTTTCGAAGTTCTCTGTTCAGTTTTTGTTCTAAAGTTTTACGAGAAGGTTTTTGTGCTTCGAGTCTTTTGTCCTGTCGAACTTGAAGGATACGGGACTGCATTCGGCGGTGAAGTTAATTGAGTTTATACGTTTGGTGTTTTTTATTTCTGTTATTGTTGAGTTTTTTTTTGTTTGGTGCACTGTACCGGCCCGAACACCGGCGTTATATCAAGGCACAAGGCCTGGTTGCTCACTTACGGACCTCCGGGGGAAAAGCCTTTAGGTGAAGTATTCGAGTTTCGTTGTATATAAATTTTGTGGTTGCGAAATTTATGCGTCCAACAATATCTTGACTGTTTATAAACAACGCTGCACTTGTGTCGGAAGTGAGGTTAGTTTGGACTTATGTCATGAATCGTCTTTCAATTATGAAAATATTCAAATTATTCAAAGCTCCTACGAACTCTTGACAATATTGTTAAACAAACACCACGTGCAGCTGCCAAGTATAGTCAAGCAACCTTTCACTCAGAAATACAATGAGTAATAAATAACAACGGAACCCAAGTACATATCTGTAATCCTTGGATCTTTTGTATTGTACACGGGACAATATTTACAGAAAAAAAAACATAATTTAAAATAAGGAAGTAAAGACTAAATCGTCATAATAAATCATTGAAAAAACCGCCTTAATACATTATGGCTCATATTTATTATCTGTATACATTAGATTTGAATGCTAACGTTTTGGTATATGCTGTATACTCATGGATTTCCTTATTACGAACTAATATTTAAATCACTTTAAATCACCGACAATGTAAATTAAATTATAAAGAGGTAATTAAACTGTTACAGATTTATTTACTTTGAACATTTATTTTCTTTAAAATAGACCTCCATTTAATTAAATCCGTAACGATAAACAAATAGATAAGAGGGTGGGGAGGACGAACTCTTTGCAGATTTTTCCGAGAATACTGTTTTGTTATGATTTAAAAAAAAGAATTAATTAAAAGCTATTAGTTGAACAAATACCATTTATAAGTCAAAACTAACGAGCAGGGTTGAAAATTAATTTTTAAAATATGTCTAAGCAATATTACACGGACCACTTCATTTCATCGTCGGTTTAATTAAAAACGAGTGCCCTCTCC